ATACAATGACGGGGCAAAGACTTCTTAATATTTTAAATAAATAACCAGTAAGTGAATGGCACACACATCCAATGAGCCACCTGGACTAGGAGGCAGGGTTTCCGGCTCAGGAGATTTCTGTGGAGATGAGGAAAGCCAGCGCATGTCATTGCAAAAAGGGAGTGCTCTTCAGATCTAAGCTCTGCCATCGGGTTCTGCTGCTGTGTTTCGTGGGCCTCAGTAGTTCTAGTCTGTAAAATGGGAGTAAAAAACACAAAGGTCTCAATGAAGAACCAAAATATGATAGATCTTTGTGAACATCAAAAAGTGTCTTGATCTGGAAAAGACACACAGGCCCGGTGACTTTGCAGGCTTATGAGGGTCTCTGTTAGCCGGTGGAACTCACCGCCATGAGATGTGATGGTGCTCAGTGTTTGAAACAGCTTTAAAAGTGGGCCAGATAAATTCATGGGCGCCCCTGAGAATGGTAGGTTTTCATTTTGGACGAATGTTCTTTTTGTTTGTTAATTTAAGCAAATTTTCATCTCTCCAGCGGCAAGTTCTCAGAATATTAGGCCTCGTCTGCCTGAAACACGTTGCCCATAACATGAATCCAAAGGATGCCAATCAGATTTGTTGGTGTCGCCAAACTGGGATGGAATCAGGGGATTGGAATGACCTTAATAGACTGGCAAACTGGGCTAAGACAGTCAAAAGGAATGACAACAGAGGAAAAGGTATGATTCAGAACTGAGGCAAGGAAAATCAGATGCACCTATGCACAAAGTAGATAACAGCTGGCTCGGCAGTAGTGCATGAAAAGGGGATCCAGGGGTTATAGTAGGCCACCTGCCAAAACATCAGCCAGCAAGTGTGATGCAGCAGCAAAAAAGACCAATGCAATACTGGCTTCCGTCAACAGAAGTGCAAGGTCTGTCTCAAGAAACGTCATAGCATCTCCCAGTTCTGCTTTGGTCAGACTTTACCTGGAATCCTGTTTCTGGTTCTGGGCACCCCCGTTTCAGAAAGAGGAGGAGAACATGGGATGTGTCCAGAGGAGAGCAAGCACGAGAATAAAAAGATGTGGACACTGAGCCCTGTCAAGAATGGCTGAGGGGGTCTATTCAGCCCAGAGAAGGAAGTGAGGTGACAAGATAGCCATCTTCCAATACCTGAAGGCCTGTTGTGTAGAAGATGAAGCTCCTGAAGGAAGCTTGACCGTGGTGCGGATGACCTCTGGTGGCTGGATAGCTCAGTGAGTTGGGGACCTGGTGGTGGAGCCAGAGGTCGGGTGTTTGATTCCCACCCACTGGGCCTGGTGCGGGAAAAGCCAGCTCGTTCAGCCTTGGGCAAGCTTCGAGATAGTCCCAGAGCACACACACACACACACACAAGATGGAGGACGGGCAAGCTTCGAGATGGTCCCAGAGCACACACACACCCCCCCAAGATGGAGGGAATGGTCAACCATGTCTAAGTCATCTTGAAGACCAAGAACTCCCTGGAAAAGTTCACCACAAGTCGTAATCGAGTTGGTGACAGATCATTATATGATTTGTGGACTACCTCCAAAAAAACAGAGAGCTCTTCCTTAGAGGTGCTAAAACAGTGGGCGGCCGTCTGTCTGGGGTCATTTCCGCCTTTGATTCCCTGCTTTGTCTCACGGGGTTGGTCTTGATGACCTCTGGGGTCCCTTTTACAGCTCATCCGTTCAGTGATTCCACGGCGATTCCCTCGTACTCGCTCTTTGATCATCCTCAGCTCGAGAGGCACCAGGGCTTACCTCCGTCTCCCTGTCGCTGGAGCTGCCGGTGTCAACACGCGAGTAGAGCCGAGGGCTGCTGGGCCCTGCGGGGAGGACCGGACGGTGAACCAGATGGTCGTTTGTTCTGACCCTGCGGGATTTTTCTCCTGTTTTCTGTTATCTGCAACATCTTGTCCGGAACCGGCTCCTGAAACAGGGTGTGTGCGGGGCAGGTAGACGAGATCACCCTGCCGTCCTTTCCTTTCAAGGAGCGTTTGATCTGCCGATAGATCTGGGTCTGCTCAGACCGACGTCTTGCTGTGCAAACCGCCCCTGTCTGTACAGTATTTATTATCCGGAGATGCTGTGATGGGAAGGAAGGGGGACGAGAAGGGAAGTGGTGCACCAGTGTCTCTCTGTGCACGCGTCTGCATGCACGTAGGCAAAACAGCGTGGTGACAAATCTAAGGTGCGGTTTGCCCACTTCCACGGAAAAGCTCCGGCTTCTTGGAGGATAGCAAGAAGCAACACAGAAACATCTGGTTGACATTTGAGCCAGCTTAATGACATTTTTTTCATTTTAAAGGGGAACCCTTCCTCCCTCTTTCTCCCAAAAGTTCACACTGAGGACCACATGCAGAAAGAGTTCGATCCCTTTTATTTGGGGGCTACAACGTCCACGACCTCTCTGCTTGGCCACTGCCAAGGGGATTTTGGGCCCTGTAGTCCGGGAGAAAAACTTCTCGAACTTCCTGGATAGGCATAAGGGGAGCGTTTTCTAGAGAGAAACACCAGAGGGAAAATAAGTTTATTTTATTTTCATCATGTGTGTGGTGTGGTATTTTTTTTGGGGGGGGGAAGGTGTTAAAAATACAACCCCCATTTTTGGGGGTTTGAAAGGAATCTCTCAAATGGTTAACAAAAGAAACCTGAAAAGATAATAGAAGAATAGCAGAAAGAGCAGAGGGAGGACAGGAGTAAAACTCTTGGAATAAAAAGAACGATAGAGGACAAAATAAAATACTACACTTCAGAGGGGGTTGTGGGTAAAAATCAGAGCTGGGTTAAAATGCGGGGGGGTTGGCTACAGCTCTTAAAACCCCTCCAGTGCCTGATAGTGAGAAGGCTTGTCCGAGAATCTCTGGTGAAGACAGATCGTCCGTCGGGGCATGCCTGGTGATTCATAGCCGCTCTGCCTCCATGGTAGGCGGTTCTAGGGCTTAAAGTTTCGTAACAGCCCTATAGTTTGATTTTTTGAAAAATTGTTGGCCTTTCTAGATGTTGTAAAGCAAAAGCCCTCTGCACACGCTCAGGGGTGCTCTGTTCATACTGTGGCCACCCATGGGTGCACCGCCAGGGGGAATCCAGAGGGGTGGCAGTTTTGTAAATGTGCCCTAAATGGGCTGCTGGCAAACGATTCTGGACTCTTTCTTCTTCCCCGGAAGGCGCAAGGGTTCCCCGGACTCTCTCCCCGGATCGTGGCCTTTCTTTTTCTGCCAACCCAATGCTGTGGAAAGCCTGGAGACGCACGTCGGCCGGGTCAGCCCTCCTCTCCCTGTTTACATGCACACAGCAGCTTGGCTCCGGCACGTCATCCCCTAATATGGTCCGTTTGTGGGTCTGTTGCTTGTCCAGCCGGCCCTCCCCGAGGCTGTGGGGGGGGGGTAGAGATGGGAAGGTTGGGGGGGAGAATGTAAAAATTGGGTGGGTGTGGGAGAATCAAGGGTTTCCCCATTTTTTTTCCTTTCTGGAAAAAATGGGGGAAAAATAAGGAGTGTGGAATGTGTTCTTTTACAATGATAAATATTATGTCTATGACACGGTATTCAAACTACAGTATATAAGACGAAGACCTTAATGGAAGACGTTTGAGACTTTATTCCACACTCTATATGTCCCCCTCCAGTTTTTCCAGGGGGGGGGAAGAAACAGCTTTGGGGGAAAAAAAACCAATTTTTCTCATTCCNCAGCTTAGGGGGGAAAAAACTCAATTTTCCCCATTCCTCCCCCCCACCCAGTCCTTCCCATCTCTAGTGGGAGGCCCATCTGGGAAAACATTTTAGAGACTCGAATGGCCTACCGGCACATCCCCAGCGGAGTACGACCCATAAACAGCGTTGGGTAGAAAAATTTGGGAAGGTTGTGGGTCTTTTTTTTTGTATTGTTTTGTTTTACTACAAGTCTCATAATCCCCCACCGTTGGCTGGGGGATTCTGGGATTTGTATTCCAAGCATGCCGAAAACTTTTCCAGAGTTCCTCCTCTGCCCGATGCCAGTGCCTTTAGAACAAACTTTTCTGTGAGACACTTAGTCCAGGGATCCATCATCCGACCAGGACTCGAAAACCCTGGGTTTTGAATTTTTGCTCAGCCTTGAAAACTCACGGGGGGGGGAGGCAGCAATGGGGGGGGGAATCCTTCCTTGAGCATCTCACACGTCTGCAAAAGTTTGCTGGATTCACGATAAATGAGAAACGCAACCGTCGCCACCACCACAGCGGCTTGCCACAAAAAAACACACACCAAATTCAGACTCCTTTAACTTTTATGCAAATTTAACTGTCACTCCTTAGTGGGGACTTTACCTTTAAAAATAGAACATAGGAATATTCTGTGCCGGTATGTAGCAGCTTCCGAGCAGGTGGAAGTTCAACAGATGAAACCTCCCCCCTTTTTTTCTGCTGGAGGGGAAAAAAAACCTCTGCCGGCCAAATTTTGCCTTGATGCACAGACTTTTTCTTGAGTTTTGTTTTTAAAGTTAAAAATCTAGGAAACTAAAAAAAAGCAGAGGTCCTGGCAAGCTGGAGAGAGAGAGAGAGAAAAAAATATATTAAAACCCACCCAGGCCTGGCCAGTCTGTCCCTAACCACTACACGCCACAGCCCTGTGGCTGGTTTGGTCTGCGAGCCGCCCCTCCCTGTCACCCAGTTCCATGGAAACAGGCCTCACCCCACATACCAGACCCAGAGGAAGAGGGAGGGCCGGCCGGCAGCGGCAGCAGTGTGCTAGCTAGCCCGCGCACGCCATGCCTGTGCGTCATTTGCCAGCGGAGAGGCTCTGAACCGGCTCAGGATGGCCCCTGGCAGGAAACGGGTATGTTTGTCCTCTCCTCCTCCCTCTTCGCTTTCCTCCCTCTCCCTTTCTTTGCCCAGGTGCCAGAGAAAGGGGGGCCAGGATCCTGTGCCAGCCCTGCAGTTGGCACAAAGGATGGGATAGCACTGCCCCCCCCTAAGATCCAGCTACTTCTGGGGTGAGGATGAGGACCAGGAGAGAGACAAGTCTGGATATCGGCTCTTGGGGGTCCTGGCCAAGGTGGTGGGGGGGCAGAGACTGAGAAGGGGAGGGTTTCTGCACTCAGACCAGGAGTTTGGGGGCATTGCCCTGGCACCGCCGGTGACCCTTCCCCCAGCCGATGCCAGCCAGCCTGGGCATGCTGAAATATTCTGCCGGAAACCCCGCTTCTTCGCCAGGAGGAAGCACGCTGATTTCTCTCTTCCACACTGCGGAGGCTGATCTCCAAAGACAAGCAGAGGGCAAATTTTTTTGGGTTTTAAACAAAACAAAACAGGGTGGCCTCAGGGTGCCAGGGGACGTGGAGCGACCTACGAGGAGCCCAGCCGGGGAAACGCGGAGCATAACTTTTTATGCAAGAGGAGGCATGACGGTGCAAAAAAGGAAAGAAAGCAAGAGGAGGAGGACAAAGGAAGCCGCAGAAGCCACCACAAAGCCTGGACCGCTTGGTACACACCTGGACTCCGCCACCTGCCTCCCGGTAGTGCCTTTTGCAAGAGACGCGCACAAGGGCCGGAAGGCGGCACACACCTTCCCCGGGTCGCTTCGCACAGACAGGCTGTTGTGACCTTGAGGCCTGACTTCCTCGCTGTCTGGGATTTACGTGCGTGACTTTTGCACAAGGATGGCGCCCGTGCGTGCCAAGCCAAAGAGGTGCCTTTTCTGAAAAGAAGAAGCCGCTTCATGGATGCCAGAGATGAGGTCTGACCTTGTGGCTTTTTGCTGTTAAATCTGTTGTGGGTTTTCCGGGCTCTTTGGCCGTGTTCTGGAGGTGGTTCTTCCTCACCTTTCGCCCGCCTCTGTGGCCATGGGCATCTTCCGAGGACAGGACTCGGAACTCGGTAGAACCTGTGTTTCGCTCTTGGACGCTCTCTTTTTTTTTTAAGCCTCAAATGGAATACCTACCTGTGTTTCGTTCTTGGACGCTCTTTTTTTTTTTAAGCCTCAAATGGAATACCTTGGATTGGGACCATCTGGTGAGGTTACCCATCACCCTTTCTCCCTTCCTCCCATCTTTTGACCTGGGTTTGGTCCTGCCGTGGAGTTCTCAAACGGGCGATAACAGCTTCCGTAATGCCAAGATCAAATATTGACATTTCTCCTGCCAAGCTGAGTACCTACCGCCTTTCCTGAACTGGGTCAGATCAAGAACTCCGAAAAGCCAAAAAAATTTTCCTATTTTTGGGGGTGGTGGTGGTGGTGTAACTCTCAGAATCCCCTCAGCCAGCATGCTAAGTGGCTAGGCAGGCGGAAAGACCTGGGGGCATTTTACTGCCCTCCATGTACAATAAAAAAGAGGGAGAGAATCCTTTTTTCCCCCCAAGCCCTGTAAGATGATAAAAGAACAGGAAATGTCTGGTAATTTTTTTTTTAAATAATAGCATGCCAAAGAAACTTGCTTTGAATACTTGCTTCGTCCCTTTTTAAACCGTCCCTTTTTAAACCAGTTCTCATGCTTGGTTTTGGTGAGTGGGAAGGCCACAGGATGGGGTGGGGGATTGTGGAACCCATTCTGGATCAGGAAAAAAAAGGAATATGTTTTACTGGCGGAAGAGAATTCCTGGTCCCTGGGTTACGGATGCAAAACAAATGGTTTACAGCTCCCCCCCCTCCCTTTCAGTCGGTTCCCACCAGGATCTCCCTTCTGGAGATTTTTATCAGCATGGAAAAAAAAAATCTGAGTCATCCGACTCTTAAGAGATTCTGTATTAAAGATGGAGCAGCCCCAGTCCAGTGGAAAATTCTGTTGCGTAGTCGCCTTTCGAAAAAAAAGAAAGGAAGGAGGGGTGGGGGAAAGGCTGGAAACGGCAGAGGAGCAGCAGCCTTGCTGGGGGTTTGTGTGTGATAGCAAAAGATCAACACTTGGGGGAAAATCCCCTTTTCGGGGGGCTACGGGTCCCAGAAATCTCCTGGCCGGTAGGGCCACTGCCCAGGATGCTGGAGGATTCTGAGCCGGTTTCACGCCGGTTTGGGCTCGCCTTTGCCTGGGGGGTGACCCCTCATGTCCTGGGTCAGGTTGAAGGTCTTGATGCTTAGGGATAAAGACCTCCATGGTTCGGGACTACGCCGCTTGTCGGAGCGTCTCTCCCCAGTGCCACCGGCCCGATCCACCGGATCCTCCCAGGCCCGGCTCCTCCCCATAGCCACCCCGAGGGAGGCCCATAAGTCACCCGCCAGAGGCAGGGCCTTCTCCGTGGTGGCACCGGCTCTGTGGAACCAGCTCCTGGGAGAGCTCTACGCCTGGCCCACGCACGCCCTGCCAACGGTTAGATAGAAGACAACTTGAAACCTTGCTTTTCAGGGAAGGCCTTCCACCGGGACCCTGCAGGATGTCACATTTTTTGCCCCACTTTTGCAGAGATGATCTCCCTTGGGTCCCCTGGCAATTTTTACCCTTAGGGCTGTTTTTATTCCTTTTGGGGGGGGTTCATTTATGCTTTTATTTTGTTATATGCCTGTTTATTTTGTTATGTGGTGAACTGCCCAGAATAGTGCATTATTTTATTTTATTTGTCTATCTCTCTGTCTGTCTATCTATCCATCTGTCCATCCTTCTATCCATCCATCCATCTATCTATCTTTCCGTCCGTCCGTCCATCCAACTATCCATCCATCCATCCATCTATCTATCTTTCCTTCCGTCCCTCCATCCAACTATCCATCCATCCATCCATCCGGCTGTCTGTCTGTCTATCCATTCATCTGTCTATCCATTCATCCATCTATCCATCTATCCGTCCATCCATCCATCCATCCGGCTCTCTGTCTGTCCATTCATCCGTCTATCCATCTGTCCATCTATCCGTCCCTCCATCCATCCAGCTATCTGTCTGTCTGTCTGTCTCTCTCTCTCTCTCTCTATCTATCTATCTATCTATCCATCCATCCGTCCGTCCGTCCATCCATCCATCCGTCTCTCTTTCTCTCCCCCCTTCTTGCACTAATGGGGCAGTCTATGAACCAAGTAAATAATTCAGGGAGCCGAATTTTGAAGCTTGGCCTAGGTATGTCTCCTCCGTCCCTCTCCCCAGGGCCCCACGTGGTTCTTGTTGTCGAGTGTGCTCTTTGTGTGGTGATGTGAAAGAGGAACAAAAGTCTTAAAGAGTTCTTTTCTGTTGTGTGTCTGCGTTTACAGGAAGGAGACGAGGATGGTGGAAGTGGGATAACACCCACCTTAATCTTGTCCGTCTTCACAGCCGTTTTGGGGTCCCTGCAGTTTGGCTACAACATCGGCGTCATCAATGCACCCCAAAAGGTACAGAGGGGCAAAACCCAAGGGTCCACATGGATTTGGGACCCGGCAGGGCTGGTGTAGAAACGGGCCTCTGAGCGTGCACAGTTTTGATGCTCCCGAGCAGGCGCTCCACGAGAGCTCCTTTTGACCAGCCAGGTCTCTTGGTTTTTAAATACGGGCAGAAAAAGGGTGAGGGTTAGGGTGAGAGGTCGTCAGTCTGCTTTTAACTTTAAGGACTTTAGCTTTAAATGTTGTCTTTGAACGACCTAAGCTGCCTTGAGTCCTTTTAAAGAAGAAAGGCGAGGTAGAAAATATTTTAAATACAAAAATTTAAAAATGAACCTGCCCTCTCTTGATTTAGATTTTAAGGCCATTCACCTTGAATGACAAGGTTGGGGTGCGTGTGGGCCTGTGGCACTCCAGATAATGCCAGACTCAAATGCCCATTATCCTGAGCAAGCATGATGGGAGTTGTAGTTCAGCGCCATCTAAAAGGACGCAGGTTCCCAACCAGTGGCTCTCTCGTCAATCTCAGTCAGGACCACACTTTTCGTCGGTTTTTACTGAGATTGAATGCATAAAGGCCTGCTTGTCTCCCCTTGTGAGGAAGAAAGGTAGAATACAAATCTAATAAGCAGAAATAAATATGTAAATACTTGGAAAGGTCAAAGGATGCAAATAGGAATACGAGTTACCACCGTGGTAATAATATCTGAACAAGAAAAATGTGTTAATGAAAGTATGATATTATTGAACCTTGATCATCATCAACAACAATAATAATCACGAGTCGTGACTTTTAATCTTATACTTTAATATGCTCACGACAAGCAAACTTTGAAATGACATCGTCGTCTGGGACATCACCATAGCCCATTGATTTGTATACCACTTTTTCACGGTACATTTGTGCTCAAAGCGGTTCACAAAAGCCTATATATAAAACATCAGTTATCATCACTTTGACAGTTGCTGTTTTAGGTGAGTTTCTGCTAGGGTAGTAGGCTAAAAACAAAAGGAAAAGGAAAAAAAAATATGGGAGACAAAAATGTTGTGGCATCTTAAAGAGGAACTGCTGTATTTTGACAAGAGTGTTTATGGACACACCCGGCTCAGAGGAAGGGGGCTTGATGCACCAAAACTGGCATTAAAATATAGCGGTTAGTCTTTAAGGTATATTTTGACGTGAGTGTTTATGGACACACCAGGTTCAATATTTGATCCACCAAAACTGGCATTAAAATGTAGCAGTTAGTCTTTAAGGTCCCTGTGGGTTTGTCTCCTTTATTATTTTTTTTAATTTTTCTTTTGTTTCTGGCCTCATACCTTTCCCCCTGGTTTTGTCTCCTTTATTATTATTTTTTATTTTTCTTTTGTTTCTGGCCTCATACCTTTGACGTCAACGAACCCCCATAGTAAATGCAGCCCCTGATCCTGTTACTATTTGGGTAGAGCATTTCAAAAGATCCAGCGGCAATAATAGGTCATTAAAAATACAATCCAAAAGAGCCGTGGGGTCATAAAACCCACAACGCCGTTCATATATCAGAGGGAAAAGGACTTGCTGTCAAAGAAGGAAAGATCAACCAGAGGCTGGGAAATTGGTATTCAAATGAGTATCGAAGGAGGGAGTGCGGGTTGCTAAACTCTGAGGTGGCCTGCAAGCACCTCCTGGTCTGTACTGGACTGTCAAATATTGGAAGCCACTGGGAAGAGACTATGTAGGGTGGAACTGCCTTGTTTTGAAATAAAAGGGGTGGCTTCCCTCACCGGTCCTCTCCTCTCCTCCTCCTCCTGTTTTTGTACAGATCATTGAGCAGAATTACAATGCCACCTGGATGAACCGTCAAGGGGTGGAGAACCCAACGCCCATTGACCCGGGCACCCTCAAGACCCTGTGGTCCCTCTCGGTGGCCATTTTCTCCATCGGGGGCATGCTGGCGTCCTTCGTGGTGGGCATCGTCTCAGAATGGCTGGGCAGGTGAGCCCTTCCCTCTCCCCCCACCCCCCGCAGGAGGTCGGGAAGAGGGTGGGCCTCTGGACCGTCTTAGCGGGTCACCGGTCCTCAGGTTGCTGGAACCACCCCGTCGTCCAGCTCCTGAAAGCAACTGGCCGTCCGAGAGCAGTTTTCTTAGTCCAATTTGGACTGTTGGGCTCTGTTGCCTTTGAACTATTTGTGTGTGTGTGTTTTAGTATTGATTTTATTTACCACATTTAATAGGGTACTTGTTTAATTCTTTTTAAATATTTGTATACTTGCCGTTTTTTTCTTTTAAATATTGTCCTTTTAATGATGCAAGGCGCCTTGGGAGAAAGGCAGGGTAAAAATATTTTAAATAATTGGACAGATGGACGGATGGACGGACGGATGGATGGATGGATAGCAATGCAAAATAAATTAGGTAGGTAGGTAGGTAGGTAGGTTGGTTGGTTGGTTGGTTGGTTGGTTGGTTGGTCGGTCGGTCGGTCGGTCGGTCGGTCGGTCGATTGATTGATTGATTGATTGATTGATTGATTGAAAAAATGAACTAAGGGTATGTCCAGATGGGTGAAATATTCTGCCTCTACTTGATCCCTTTTTCTCCTTGTTGATTGCAAGGATGAGCAGAATTTTTGTCCACACGAAACTTTAAGGAGCCTGGTCTCCAGAAACTACTTTCCTTCCAGGGTCAGAATCCGTATCCTTCCTGGAGCGCCGCTGTTCCTTTTGACAAAATGCTAAAACCGCGTACTGATTGAGAATGTCTTGATCCAGAGGCTCTTGATGTCAAAATGAACTTTGCACAGGAAGTGCTGTAGCGCTAAACCCAGCCCCCTCAAGCAAAACAAATCCCAGAACGGAAGAAGTCAGCAAGGGAGGATGGCGAGGGAAAAAAGGCGGAGTAAGCCTTGCGTCCTCGGCATGGCACGATCCTCCGGGACAGGCGCGCCGTTCTTAACAGCGCCAAGGACTTCCTCTGGACAAGCTCTACAGCGTCTGCCCCATGGGGTTGCAATTTCGGATTTCATTCTTACGTTACGAAGCTGTTCGTCGGTTGGTTGAATCAGTGTGAAACCTGTGTTTAGTTTGGGTGTCACTCCGGGTGACACGCCATCGCTCAGGTGGGCCCCTCTGGAGCAAGGACCGCTGTCCAAGCCTTTAGGTCCGATTCTCTGGTGTTTGAGTCCGTGTTTTTCGCACCATGAAGAACAAGCTTTTTTTCCCCAGAAAAAAAAGGGGAAGGGTGGGCGGGTTCTGAGTCGTGAGTCGAGTTTGAATCACTGAAAAACAACAAGAACAACAACAACAGCAGCAGAAGCAGCAGAAGCAGCAACACAACAACAACAACAACAACAACAACAACAACAACAACAACAACAACAACAACAACAACAAGTCGAGTCTGACCCGAATCACTGGTGAGACTTAAGCCTGACTGGACAATGAGTCTCACAACTCAAGTTCCCCATTCCTGCTCTGGAGCAAGACCAGAGTTTTTTCTGAGCATGTGGGAAATGCTTCCAGTCCCCCCCTCGCTACGGTTAACGAGAAACCAACAACCCACAAACTTTAGGGGGTCAGGAGAGGGAGGTAAAAGGTGGACGGTATAACTTCTCTGCAAGCCCTGCCTAACCTCAGTCTCTCAAGTGGTGCAAAACTGCAAAACCCATCATCCCCAGTCTCCGGTGCGCCGCGTTGGAAAGGCTCCAGGCGATGAACTCTGCACGCGCCAAGAGCGTTTTTGTTTTCTCTGTGGTTTCAGGAAGAGGGCCATCATCGTCAACAACGGGCTGGCGTTCCTCGGCTGCGGTTTAATGGGTTTGGCCAAGCTCGGGAAGTCCTACGAAATGATGATCTTCGGCCGATTCTTGATTGGAGCGTTCTCCGGTAGGAAAGAGAGCCTCCCGTTGAACCCGGGGCACTGCGGGGATGTTAGCAGAGAGAGAAAGAAAAAGCTGGAGGTTTCCGGGTGTGTCTGTGTTCAAAATCCTCTTGATTCCCAGGTAGACACTGGACGTGACTTATAAAAAGAGTATGTTTTCGGAGTGCGTGAGAATAGCTTACGTCCTTCTGTCGAGCAACCACAGTAAATTCACGCTTCCTGACATCCAAGTTTGGGAATAATGTGTGCCTAAAAAAAGTATTGGGTAAACACCATTTAACAAGATCAAAAATATAAAATGTGTGTGTGCGTGTTTCATGGGCTCTCCAGTTGTATCCAACTTGGGGCAACCTATGAAGAATTTTTGGGGCATGTGAGATATTTAAGCGGTGGTTTTACCCAGGCCACTCACCGGTGACCTTCCATTTATTTTTATTTTATTTTTTGAGAATTTGAACCCAGGCCTCCTTATATATATATAAAGGAGCTTCTCCTGACCATTGGGGTTTATCTTTGTCACCCTTTACCCATCTGGTGCTGGGGAGACCGACTGGGCTTCCTCAAGCTACCCATCTGTTCATAGAAGCAGGGCTTCGGGGGTGGGGGGAGAGCTTCCTAGTGAATTCATTAATTGAGTGGTCTTCCAATTAACCCTTCTTCCTTTTTTCTTCCCCTGGCAGGGTTTGCTTCTGGGCTGGTTCCCATGTACGTGGGAGAGATTTCCCCCACCCACCTGCGGGGGGCACTGGGAACGCTCAACCAGTTGGCCATCGTCATTGGGATCCTCATCGCGCAGGTAAGGAACGTCCCCTCTTCTCCCCCCCCCGGCTGCCGCACCCAAAAGCCGCCGTCGGTCACAGCCTCTCGGAAGGATGGCTCTTGGAGGTGTTGGACTACAAACCCCAGAATCCCCTCACCGGCCTGTGTCCACCCTCAGGCTGCGGGAGTCAGGTGGGCTTCAAGGTGGAACAGACTCTCTCTCTCCTCTTCGGACGCAGGTCTTCGGATTGGAGTTCATCCTCGGATCGGAGACCCTGTGGCCCCTCCTGATGGGGGTCAGCGTGGTGCCCTCCTTCCTCCAGGTCCTGATGTTCCCCTTCTGCCCGGAGAGCCCGCGATACCTCTACATCATCCGCAACAAGGAGTCCAAAGCCAAAGAAAGTGAGCCTCGTCCTCCGGCCGGCTTCCCGTCTTTATTTTTTTCTTTTATTCCCTTTATTGATTTCAAGAAATGCAGACACCACCTTTCTCCCAATAGATCTCTCCTCCCTAGGGTTGCCCAGCAACTGGCACCCCTAACATCTCCACACATCCCCGGTTTGTCCATCAGATCCCACCCTGGCCCAACCCACACACTCCTCACGAGTTGATCGGCTCCTCCTCGTGTCCTCCCCCAGGTCTCAAGCGGCTGACGGGCCTCGTGGACGTGAGCGCGGCTCTGACGGAGATGAAGGAAGAGAAGCGCCGCATGGACCTGGAGCGCAAGGTCTCGATCCTGGAGCTGTTCCGCTCGCGCCTCTACCGGCAGCCCCTCCTGATCGCCGTGGTCCTGCAGTTATCGCAACAGCTCTCCGGCATCAACGCGGTGAGCGGAGAGAGGCTAGAAGGAGGAGAGGGTGTGGGACGACAGGGCGCCTTTCGGACTACAATACCCAGAATTCCCTGGGAGGCAGGAGTGGCTGTCCGAAATCACCAGTCCAGAACCACTCCTTGGTCCTCCTCGAGTACGGTCAACGGGCGAGGGTCAAGAGTGGCTCATCGGATCGTCTCTGATCTTTCCCCGCCTGACCTAATAGAGAGGCGGCTGTGGGTCGATTCTGTTGCCAAGGCCGTGCGTTGACCATTCCGGCTCGGCCCCTCGGCCCTCTTCCCCCGGGGGCCCTTCCCATCCAAGGGCCAACTTGGCCCGACTCGGCATATCTTCCAAAATCAGATCGGGTTGATTGCTAGAAGGACTTGCCGCTGATTTCTGTTCATCCTCCTTTTAGGTCTTTTATTACTCCACCGACATCTTCACCAAAGCTGGGTTGGATCAGCCGATCTACGCCACCATCGGCACTGGGGCGGTCAACACCTTGTTCACCTTGATTTCGGTAAGTATAGGCAAACGGGGCTCGCCATCGTCAAAACCGCCGTCATTCCAGCGGTGGCTTCACTTTGAGGAAGCTGGCCTTTGGGCTTGCCTCCACAGGGTCACGAGGGGGGGGGCTTGTCCTGCCCACCCTTTCAAGTAAAATGGGACCCTTCCCATCCGTGTCATCAGGATCCGCTGATTCACTTATCTGCTAGCTAAAAATACTAAATTAAAAAAACCCAGAAATACAGGAGAACCCTCTTATCCACGGGACCAGTATCTGCTGACTTGTTTATCCGCTGGCTGAAAATAATTAAAAAAAACCAGAAATAACTCTCTAGATAGGCCTGCTATGTCTGTGAGCAAAGTGTCCAAAAGACTTTTGTCTGTCGAGCAAAACTGAGCAGCCCTCGTGATTCTTCTGTCATGATTTCCAAGGTGTTTCCCCTCACTTTATGAAAGAGGAAGAATGGTGGGAACCCTTAAGAAGGCACAGATTTACATCTGTACCCCATTTGGGATGGACACGGGGAAGGGCCTTCTCTGTAGCTGCTCCTTTAGACTCTGGAACTCTCTCCTACTGGAGGCCGGCCTGGCCCCGTCTTTGCTGTCCTTCTGCAAGCGGGCAAAATACTTTTCTCTTCAGGCGAGCTTTTCCCTGAGTCAACGGCTGCCTGAGTGTGTGTGGGGGTTTGAATGGATTTTGTGCCTTACTGCTTTGAATGCATTTTGGTGTTCCTTGTATTTATAGGGTTTTTTTTTTTAGTATGGTAATTGAATATTGTCTTTTAAATGATGTAAGTCATCGTGAGTCTTGTGGCACAGTAGTTCAACTGCTGTCCTGCAGCTAATACTGTGCTCATTACCCAGGTTCAATCCCAGGTATCCGGCTCAAGGTTCGCTCAGCCTTCCATCCTTCCAAGCTGGATACCCAGTTTGCTGGGGATTTGTGTGCAATGCGTAGCCTGCACAATTAACTTGTAAACCATCCAGAGAGCGCTTTAAGTGCTGTGGGGCTGTATATAAGCAGCAGCTTTTTTTTAGTCCTTTTTAAGGAGAAATGTGGAGTAAAATATTTTAAATAACTATTACAAGCAGGGCTTGGAAAAATTATGTTTTAAAACTCCTTTCCAAATCCCAATAATAATAATAAAGTAAAGCCATTTGGGTTTATGACGACAGTGGACCTGCAGGCAGGTGTGACCGCTCTCCTTCCCAATTCTCGTGTAAGAGGCGTTCTCTGGCTCAGCCTTCTCGTCTGTTCTCTGTCTCTTCCTGACCGTTTGATCTTTCCCCCATCTCAGGTATTCCTGGTGGAGCGGGCAGGACGGCGGACGTTGCACATGGTAGGATTGGCCGGGATGAGCGTCTGTGCCATTCTTATGATGGTGGCTCTCCTCTTCACGGTGAGTTGCTAGGAAAAGAACGCAACCCACAGGCAGAACGAGCCGGAGCCTCAAGTGACTTGTCTACTTAAAGTTCTCTCTCCATGACTGGCTCTCGCGTCTTGTGGCAGTGAGTCCCACGGAGTGAAATGCTGCTTTATCTTGACTTCTGGTTGAAGTGACCAGCATTCATTTTGGTGGAATGAACCTGCCGTTGTCGTGTTTTGAGAGAGCAGACAATACACTGCAACTTACACTCTCGCTGCTGTTCTTAAGGGGATCTCCTCCTGGGACTTTCTGTTTTTTTCCCTTCCTGCCCTATCCACCATATATTGGGAGCACCTCCTGATGAGGACTGGTAAACAGCGGGCCCTCTGACCCATGGAATCCGTATCTGATTCACTTATCCACAGTCCAAAAATGTTTAAAACAGTAAAAGAAAAATCCTAGAAATCTATATTTTTAAAAGCGAAGTTGTCAGAACTGGCCATTAGGGGAAGCCAGAGACCGTTCTATGTACAGTACAGTGTTCGCTATTAAAATAGCATTTTGATGTAATTTGCTTATTTCAGTATCTATGGGGGGTTTGGAATTGAACCCCTGCAGGTTCTGGAATCCTACTGTACGTCTAAAGCTAGCCATTTTTATTTAAAACAATAGTGGCCTAATAAAGGTATCACCTGCCCTTGCATTTGTATTGTGTAAGGACCACATGGCTTTACAGTGGTGCCTCGCATAACGAGCGCCTCGTATAGCGACGAATCCGCATAGCGATCCCTTTTCCGGGATCGCTAATGCGAAGGCATCGCGTCGGCCCCAATGGGCGAAACTCACATAGCGAAGATGGGTAAGCGTTTCGCTTAACGATCTTTGCTTTGCGACGCCGCGGATCAGCTGTTTGGTGGTTCCAAAATGGCCGCCGGACACCCGAAATGGCCGCGCGCAGCGTTTTCGCGCCCTCCCCTTGCTTACCGAGGGCGCGAAAATGGCTGCCGGACCCAGGAAACTTTGCTAAACGGTGAGTTTTCAGCCGATTTGGAACACATTAAACGATGTTTAATGCATTCCAATGGCTTTTTACTTTCCGTTTAACGAAGTTTTCACATAGTGAAGGTTAATCCGGAACGGATTAACCTCGCTATGCAAGGCACCACTGTATTGGTTTACTCTTTCTGGGAAAATTCAACTTACCCCTCCCCAGAATCTCCCAGCTCTCATGGGTGTGACTACTCTTTGTGGGAAAATTGAACTTACCCCTCCACAGAATCTCCCAGCTCTCATGGGTGTGACTTGTGCAAGATAAGAGATCTTAGAGAGCTGTCACCCAGCCTGTGTCCATTTCACCAGCTGCATGGAAGCACAAGCCAAATAAAACTTCATACAGGAGGACCCACCGTATCCACGGGATCGGTATCCCTGGTTCCACTTATCCGTAGTCTGAAAATATTACAAATATTGAATTTAAAAAAAAAACACACACACACAGAAGTACCATATTTTTCTGTATATAAGACTACGCTTTTGTCTAAAATCTTTAGACTAAAAATTGAGGGTAATCTTATAAACGACAAGCAAGTGGAGGGGAAAGCAGGGATCAAAGCGATCCCTTCCCCCTACACTTGCTAAGCTCAAAATAGATTTCTAATTTTGGGTTAGAAAAGTGGTGGATGTCTTATACATGGGGGTGTTTTATACGCGGAAAAATACAGTATGTCTTTCCACAATGCAGTTACCAGAACTGGCCACTGGGGGGGGCAGAGGCCATGCTATGGATAAGGTCCTCTATTATCCATGGTTTTCAGCATGTGTGTGTGTGTGTACAGTGGTGCCTCGCTTAACGACAATAATCCGTTCCAGGAAAATCGCCATTAACCGAAAACATCATAAAGCAAAAATAAAAAGCCCATTGAAACGCATTGAAAACCTTTCAATGTGTTCCAATGGGCTTAAAACTCACCGTCCAGTGAAGATCCTCCATACGGCGGCCATTTTCGCTGCCTGAATAGCGAGGAATCTGTCCCTAAACACAGCGGGGAGCCATTTTAGTTACCCGGCAGCCATTTTGAAACCACCGATCAGCTGTTTAAAAAATCATCGTTTTGCGAAGAATCGGTTCCCGAAGCAGGGAACCGATCATCGCAAAACGAAATTCCCCCATTTGGACCATCATTTGCGATCACAAAAAGATCATCGTAAAGCGGATTCATCATAATGCGCGCAATCGTAAAGCAAGATACCACTGTAACTGATACCTTGCAGATATTGTCTCTAAAATTCCCCAAGAAGTTTGTGCTGTTGTGTTTTTTTAATAGCAACCAGCTGACCCCCACATCAAGATGGAAATAGGATCCTAAGTTATGTGGGGGCAAACGTAGCCTTGGTGGTTGACATGCTGAGAGGGTTTAACACGGTGGCTCCTTGTGTGTGTGTTTTTTTCTCTGCCCTCCCCAGGAACGTGTGCCGGCATTGGGCTACCTGAGCATGGTGGCCATCTTTGGCTTCGTGGCCTTCTTCGAGATCGGCCCAGGGCCCATCCCATGGTTCATTGTGGCCGAACTGTTCAGCCAGGGGCCCCGCCCGGCCGCCATGGCCGTGGCCGGGTTTGCCAACTGGACCTGCAACTTCATCATCGGCATGAGCTTCCAGTCGATCGAGGTGAGTGGCCGTCCCCGGGCCGCTCGTGCCGGGGTGGGGGCGAGGGCTGGGAAAGGAGAGGAGAAAGTCGGAACGACGACGCCCGCTGCCCGTGGCAGGAATGCCCTGAAGCAGGTCTGAGCATCTCATGGAAGGCATGGAGGTCATCGGGTCAGGAATCCAGAGAATCTGAGCTGACCGTGGCCAAAGGTCAAGCGGTACAGCCAGCGTTGGCTCAAACGGCAGTTCTTGCACAGAAACCTCCCAGAATTCTCCAGTGAGCATGGCCAGTGGGGTTCTGGGAGCTGCCACACACACACACACACACACACACAGACACACACACACAGACACACACACACACACAGACAGACAGACAGACACACACACACACACACACACACACACACACACACACACACACCTTTTTGCCAAGCTCTGGATAGAGCACGCCTGTTTGTGCGCTGATTTGCCCAGATCTGGTTCGCAGCATTACAGAGTAAAGTTGCTCTGCTCCATCCCGGTGCCTTCTAGGTTTTTTTTTTTAGTACTACTCCCATCACTTCATTGTCGACAGTCTGGGGATGCTGGGAGTTGTAAGCGAGCACATGCAAAGAATGGCCAAGTCGGGGAAGGATGGATTAAAAAACTGCTAGGGTGACATATTTGGGTGTGGTTATGAGAAGCGGCGACTCAGCCCATTCACTGACAGTATCACAGACTCAGTATCCGTGGTTTTACTTGTCCACGGTCTGAAAATATTTAAAATATTACATTTTTTTTAAAGAAACGTGTATTTCCACCATGTAATTATGAGAACTGGCCACTAGAGGGAGCCAGAGACCATGCTATATACAGTGGTGCCTCGCTTAATGACGATAATCTGTTCCAGGAAAATCGCCATTAAGGGAAAACATCATAAAACGAAATTAAAAACCTCATTGAAATGCATTGAAACCTGTTCAATGCATTCCAGTGGGGTAAAAACTCACCATCCAGCAAAGATCCTCCAAACGGCGGCCATTTTCGCTGCCTGTATAGCAAGGAATCCGTCCCTAAGCACAGCAGGGAGACATTTTAAGCACTCGGTGGCCATTTTGAAAACCCAACGATCAGCTGTTTTTGATCGTCGTAAAGTGAAAATCGGTTCCCGAAGCAGGGAACTGATCATTGCTAAGCGAAATTCCCCCATTTATCGTAATTGTGATCGCAAAAGTTCGTCATCAAGCGGATTCGTCATAATGTGGGGCAATCATTAAGCGAGGCACCACTGTATATAGGGTTTACTATGATCCGTAGTTTTCAGCATCCACGGGGGCGGGGGGGCTTGGAACTAACTTCGGGAGACTAACATTTTATCTGAACGTTGCCTCTAAAGAAGCCAGTTGGAATCCACAAAATCTTCTATGCCACGAAACAATTCAGGGTGCCAAGAGAGTTTTTTTTAATACAAAGAGTTTTTTAAAATGGTACTTGCCCCTTCACAGTATCTCTCCTGCCTTCTCCAGGAAGCCTGCGGTCCCTACGTTTTCCTCATCTTCGCCATCCTCCTGGTGGCGTTTGCCATCTTCACGTTCCTCAAGGTGCCGGAGACGCGAGGGCGGACCTTCGACGACATCGCCGCGACATTCCGACGCACGCCATCCTTGCTAGACCGCGAGATCAAACCTTACACGGAACTGGACGAACTCAGCCGGGATGTGCTCGAATGAAAGGGAAGCCCAGGGTGGGGGGGCAGGGGGTGGGCCAGGTAGGGACACCCTGCACCCCCCCCAAAAAAAGGACATTCGGACGTCAGTGTGGTCCATAGCGTTTGGGACGGAGGGCAGGAATCAGCAGGGTCTGTCTAGCACTTTAATGATACGGCGAGACTTCGGTCCGCGGCACAGAGTGGAACCTATTTTTAATTTAGGTCAGTTTTTAGTCTGGATGCATTTTGATTTATTTTTTAAAGAAAGAGAGTAAAGAAAAAAATATATTTAATAAAGCAGGGTCAGGCAGGTTTATTGGCGGGGCGGGGGTGGGCTTTTGTCCCCCTAGGAACATGAGGTCTCCTTCGCCGGAAACTCGCGGCATAGACAAGGGAGGCAGGAAGAGCCGTTGACTTTTCTTGCGGCAAAGAGCGGGGTCGTGGCGGGATTGGGGGGGGAAACGAACACCCTCGGCGTGTCTCCTGGCCGGGACCTGGAAGAGTCGTTCTCCGGAAAGCAAAGCCCGAAATCCCGGACTAAGTCCAAAACGGGAGACAGTGAATTGAACCCAGAGGGTAGCAGCTCCTTTTATTTTGCTCCCCGAGAGGAGGGTTATTTATATATTGTATTGGTTTTCATTTTGGCCAGGAGGGGGAAGTGCACACAGTCGTAATCAAGGGTGCCCCCAAACACGTGCAGAGTATCTTTCTGTCTTTATACATGGTTTGCTGCTTCTCTGTAAGGTAACCCTGTGGTTTTCAGGATCATTCGAAGTAGTCTAAGCACTGGATTGTATTCCTCCCCCATCTTGTCCAGCAAAGACTGGGAAGATTTTTCCGCAGCTCCCTGGCGGTCATCTTGGCAGGCCGGTGCGGAAACGAGGAGCATCCTGTCCTTGACCGGCCGCCGCCAAGAGCAGTCCCTCCATATGTCGAGGGCGAAGGGCAACAGGAAGTGGAAAGCAATATAATATCCAGAAGGGAAACAGGGGTGCGGGGTGTGTGTGTGCAAGACAGGGAGATGGAGACTCAGAGCTTGGGCCAGGCTACTTTTAGGACTACATTGCCCAGAATCCCCTGGCTGTACAGCCAGGACTTTTCCCGGGTTCATCCATGAAAGAAGTTCTCGATGGCTGTCTTGCAAATGTACACAACTTCCTTTCATACAAACAAACAGCAAACACATCTCCAACGTGCCATGAAATTGATGGCCGTTTTCTTCCCCTCGGAGGACCCTGGGAATGAATTATTGTTTTCCTTTTTTTAATTAATTTTTTAAAGAAGCTTGAATTTTCTTGGCAGAACTTCCCAGTTTTATGAGTCGTCGGCTTCCCTAACAGGGAGAGGTGGAAAAAAGAAGTCATCCGCGTGAGCAAATAAGGCAAAAAGCGTCATGTTCAGCGGTTGCCTCCATGCGCGGTGGCGTTTTGGGCATCCCTCGTGTTTGTATCTGGCCTTATTTTCTCTCACAGGCATTTCCTGCAAATTAATAGGCCGCTTTAAGCTGGTCCACATTGTGTTTCTGGACACATGCATTGTCTTGGATAGAGGCTTGTGGTGGGTTTTCTAGACGCCACTTCCCGAGGAAACCCACCACAAACCCACACCCTTCCGGTTTTTGGCCTCGAACCCATGACCACCGGAACTCCCGAGGAAACCCACCACAAACCCACCCCCCTCCGGTTTTTGGCCTCGAACCCATGACCACCAGCAGCTGTATTCTAACGGTTCCTCCGCTTTGCAGAGGTGGAAAAGAGAATTAAAAGCAACGAGGGAAAAGACTTGAAAGCTTTACACCCTGTGAAGACAATCTTTGTACCTCCCTATTTCTGTGAAGCAAAGGGGAATCCTTCGGCAGGCCGAAACATGCATCGGCGTTTGTACCTCACTGTGCCTTGCGGGTGTGCGTGCGCCCACAGATTCACACACAGGCCCTGACAGTTGCAGGACTAGCTTTTTCTCTTGAGAGGACTGCTTAAGAGGATAAGGAACAATTTTAAAGGAAACATAACTCTCATTTTAGTACTACTAATTTAAACAGTGAATGCGGATCTGAAAGAAACCTAGTTTTTCCCCTATTTTTCCGATCATCCCCGCTCCAATTGTCAGCTGGTTTAAAGACAGGCTATCCTAACAACTCTGAGTGACAGAAAGATGCTCAGACAGTGTCTTGATGGGGGGCTTTGACGTTTGAACCATTTTAATTCAGCAGCAAAGATTTTAGGATTATGCATCACTCAGGTGGGAATCGTCTTAACGATCATCAGAATCAAGTCACGGACAATATTGTGGATGCTAGGTGCTGTAGAGTTCACGCCTGTTGAAATGATCCGCCAGCAATTTTTATCTCTCCAATTATCCAAGCCTCTCTCTGTGCTCCACACACTTTTACTCATCAAGATGAGACTTTAAGAAAAAAGTCAAAGTCAAAACTTTCAGTCAAGGTCACAAGGATGACATCTCTCCAAAAGTCAAGTTACAGCCACCCCGTGGCCCAGAATTAATTTACAGGATACAGCCAGAGCAGACATCTTTACATTTTTATTCTATAACAATGGAGGACAGCCGAAAGGAGGCAAATGTGTGCTCATTTCTATGGCCAGAATGGGCAGGAGGAAGAGGGGACTGTCTTAAAATGGTGGGCGTGTTTGTGTGTGCGTGTGCATGTTTATTTTATTTTTTTGTATTTCCAGAAAAAAATGTATTTGTATATAAAGAATAGCTTACCAGGTGGTGGTGGTGGTCGTTTGTTTCGTGTACCGTCTACTCAGATTCTTTGCGGTGAAAACATGTCTTACGGTGAAAACCCAAAAGAGCAGGACACTTAAAATGCCACACAAAAATGTGAACAGCCAGCGTGCTCCAGTTCTTCCACTGTTAATATTTTGTCTATTTCATTTATACAGTGGGGTCTTGACTTGAGAACTTAATCCGTATTGGAAGGCGGTTCTCAAGTCAAAAAGTGTGAAAACCCAAAAGAGCAGGACACTTAAAATGCCACACAAAAATGTGAACAGCCAGCGTGCTCCAGTTCTTCCACTGTTGATATTTTGTCTATTTCGTTTATATTTTAATTTGAACACTTTAGGAGCATTGTGGCACAGTGGTTAAACTGCAGTACTGCGGTGAAAACTCTGCTTACGAGCTGGATTCAGATCCAACTAGCCCGCTCGAGGTTCACTCAAGCCTTCCAAGGTCAGTAAATGGAGTACCCAGCTTGCCGGTGGTCGTAGGACCAGATGGGCGGGGTACAAATAAAATAAATAAATAAATAAACGTGTAGCCAGCAGAATTAAATTGCAAATTGCCTGGAGAGTGTTTTAAGCACTGTGGGGCAGTCTCGAAGCAGCAGGCTTCTTTCCATAACCGTGAGCGATCTTCTTTTGCAGCCGATTCCCCCAGAGAGATGCTTTCTGTCTTCTCTACGCATGCCATTCTTTCCACTGCAGCTGATCCTTTGCATTTTCCAGGCGGTCAGTAAATGGAGTACCCAGCTTGCCGGTGGTCGTAGGACCAGATGGGCAGGGTATAAAACAAACAAACAAACAAACAAACATGTAGCCTGCAGAATTAAATTGCGAACTGCCTGGAGAGTGTTTTAAGCACTGTGGGGCAGTCTCGAAACAGCAGGCTTCTTTCGATAACCGTAAGTGATCTTCTTTTGTGGCCGATTCCCCCAGAGAGATGCTTTCTGTCTTCTCTACGCATGCCATTCTTTCCACTGCAGCTGATCCTTTGCATTTTCCAGGCGAAGAGGAAGCAGCTCCTCTTCACAGAAACACATGTGCTTTGTGAGGAGCGGAAGGCGGCTAAACCTGCTCCACACACTAGGAGCGTTTGGGGAGGAATCTGTGAAGCCATGTTATTCCGAATCCTATTACTGACCCTTCTAGCCCAAGATGTTCCAATGGCAATTCCACCTTATCCTGGAAAGAGGCTCTCTGGCTGCACTTTCAGTGGAAATACTCTTTCTAGAAGCCAACCGCATGCTGTGCTACCAATCTACAACTTGTAAGAAATGCCCCTTTTGCCTAGCTTTCCGTTGCCTATGTTTGACCCAGCCAGCCAGGTTTAGGTCAGCCATGGCTGAAATGATCAAAGATGACGGTGCTTTGAGAGAAGCTATGTGACAGAAGCATGTAAAGACATCTTTGCCTTGTGCCAGTGGTGGGCTTGAGCCACTTCTTGTGCCAGCTTTTAGGTTTCTTGTCTTTGGTTTCATTTTTATTGGTGTCGGTAAAAAGGCGTTGATTGTGCAGGGTTTGGTTTGGGTTAAGAGTTGATTTTCTTATAGTTACTGATAACTGCCCCGAGTTGTGCTTAGCACTAAGTCAGGTGGTGTGCAAATATTAAAAATATGTACGTAACATATATGCAGTGACAGCGTTTAAGAACAGTGGGCAACTCCTATGTGGGATTACGAACGGTGACTTAGAGGCTGATGTCTTTCTGTCTCTTGCACCCGCTGATGTACAGTAGATTCTGTAGCTGTCCTTCTTACAGAATGGGCAAGGGGACCAAGAAAGATGTAGGCGAAGACAAGGGCCAGTTCCTTTCAACGTAGGAATGGTGGAGGGAGAAAACAGACTGCACCAATACCTTAACGCCCCATCTCCTGAACTTTTGTTCACTTCCTTTAGGATAGATGACCCACAGAACGTGCCCGCGGAACCAGTCGTGTTTGATTATATAGTGGGAAGGATGTTCCCTCCAGCATCTCCTCAACCGATACTGAATCTCCCGCCCCCACCCAGCATCAGTTGTGACCTGGATATTGTTCACACTATGCTTGGCAGGGCAAAGCTGGGCAGACATCAGGCTGGCAGGATATCCTTTGCCCGTGGCAAAAGAACCAGCAAAAGATATAAACTGGGCGCAGGCATTTCAGCACCCGAGTTGAACAGAGGTTACAGTCATTCTGCACAGAACTGTTCCTCGTCAACCTGAAACTTTCTTAGTTTCAGCTCTGCCTTTTAAGGCACAAGAAACATTTTGTTGCTTCCGTGCTGAACCAAAAGCCAAGAAACCCTTTGGATATATATGGCAAACCATCCACAAATCTGCCAGTAGGTATTCCTGATCTCCCTTCTATATATTTGGTCCTGCTGTACAGGCTTCAACAAGCCTTCGTTTACATAACAGTCACTACCATGAACCCAGTTTCCTACTTATGGAAACAGTTTTAGGATTACTTTTTAAAGATCATGGTTTTCGGCACAGATTGCGAGAGAAGAATGGTGAACAAGCTCCTTTTTCTACTGTTTAAACGATGACTGGTTTCTTGACCACACACACACACACACACACAGATGAGACAGAAGTCTGTGCTTTTGTTTTTTTACTGACGCCCAAACTGCACGCAATGGTTCACACAGGGTGTTCTTCAACAACGGGGGGAGAAAAAATTAACTGAAGATTCAACAACCAGTTTCTTTCTCTCAAACTGGCAAAAGCTGCGGGAGGGGGAAGGCAAGCCCCTCACAAGGATTTTAAAGCAAAGTGACTTTTCTTTTTTTTTGGTCAGGTTTCCCCCCTCAGGTTTAATTTTTTTTCTTTTCAAGTGGGACTTCAACAGCAGCAAAAAGGGGGGTGGGACTGGTGAAGTTTGGGGTCTCTTCAAGTGCAGGATGAGGTAACTTGGGTTGCAGGCACATTGTGGACACCTGGCAGGAGGGAAAAAAGAAGGAGGTTAGATGCCGAGGGAGGAGAGGCTGGAAGCCGTGACCTCCTGGCAGCGAGACCAATGGAACACGGCCAGTCAAGGTCTACCTAGGTTTAGGGTGCAAGGGCGCAGGGACTCAAGCCCTGCAGACGTCTTCACGGTGGAACAAGAAAAGAAAAAAGTCTAGGCTACCCAAATATTCACTTAAAGACAACTTCCCCTGATGCCAAGGGAGATTCTCTGCCATGGAAGAAAGAGAAGTTGGAACGGTTTGGAAGCACTTCCTTCTCATGGCTTTGCTGTGCAGCTCTAAATGCCAGTGAGCTTCCTCAGAAGAGCCTGGCGGCCCAGATCCAGAAGACATTCTTGCCACTTGCCTGATTATTTCCCATGACTTGCAAAGCACAATGGGAGAGCGGGGTTAGAGGAAAACTAACCTGTGTCCAAAGTCTAAAACTTGGCATGCAAACCTAAAGGGTTCCGCATGCATCAAACTGGAAAAAGTTTGGAAAGGACTGAAGCTTAGTCTCAAAACCTAAGGCATCTCTAACCCTACAGGACTTTTTATGTTGCTGCTTAGCATAACCTTAGAAAATTCACTTTTGGGGGATGACAACGGCAGCCAAACCTTTGCTCATGGCACAGGTTCAATCAGGAAGCCGGCTCGAGGCTCACTCAGCCTTCCATCCTTCCGAGGTTAGTAAGCAGAGTACCCATCTTGCTTTGGAGGGTGGGGGCAGCAATGGGTAGCCTGCATAATTAAGCTATAAACTGCCCAAAGAGTGCATTATATGCTATGGGAGTGGTATATAAGCAGCATACTTTTGCCTTTTTTTTTAAGAAGGTCCCAGCCAGCATGGCCAGCTGTGGATTTGCAAATATTGTTTTTATATACAGTAGTTTGGCCGACCTTGGACCACTTTGTCCTCAGCTTAACCCCACCTGACACACACTCTCTCTTCTGCCTTGAACTCCCTGGAGAGGAGGCAAGGTATAAAATGCGGAAAGAAAATAAAAGACCGAAAAGATTCGTATATATGGACCGTTCCCTGCACAGGCATCCTTACCAGATCACAGCTCTTGGCATCCCCTCACCGTGTGCAGATCCATCATGCCAGTAGGGCTGGGGCAAGTTCTCCCCCAGGTTCTGGTGTTGAAATCTGCAAAGACAAAACCACCACCTTTTTTTGCTGCTGGGACAGAGAAGAACAGCTTCCTTGTCATGCCGGAGCCCAAGGGGGTTTGCCTCTCAGCTTAATGCAAGGCCCTTTGCCCCTTTGTGGCAAAGCGGCCATCCGACAGGGTCCCAGAGCGAACTTCCCAGCAGACAGGACGAGGCAGGCAGCTGCCCAACACGGCCCCCGCCACTGGGCTGAGAACATGACCCAGAGGGGCTGAGGGGAAGCAGAGGTCCCCGGAGGAGGTTGAAGAGGCGGCCAGCCGGCCTCCACTTACATCCACAAGCTGCGGCCGGATTCCTGGCGGCGGCTGAGCGGGACCCTCCTGGTCTGGGGAAGTCGGCTTGCTGGCTTCCACCGGTGCTTCCTGAGCCATCGCAGGAGTGCTGCTGGCCGGAGTATCACCGCCCGCAGCGGCAGAACTTGGGGCAGGTGGCTCCTTGGTAGCCATTGCAGCCTGGGGAGAAAAAAGAGGGCGGTGAACACTTAGATGGGAAACTTGGGACTTACCACGATGCTTTTTTTCCCCCACCATGGGTGGCATCAGGATGTACCTCTTATCTCTCAGCGTGGGCAGGTGACTGCGCACCTGTTTATGCACGCATTGGGGTAGATTTTCAGCCACCCAGCTGAGCTTATGGACAGTGCAGGCCTGTGGCAAATGGCCTCATCTGTCATACATCCCTTGGAAACAAGCGGGCGTTTGAAATACTTGACAGGAATCCATTAGCGAGCACAGAGATCCCTTGATCTAGCAAATCTAAATGGCTTACATTTCTTTCAAACTCCAAGCACAGAAGGCAAGTTATAAATAAAGCAGCTCTCCTCTCTCTGTAATACGGAAGCAGGCAGCTACTCAAATTCCTCCTCCACCCGAACTCCCCTTGTGAACCCTTCGCTCATTATCTGCATGCTCACTTGGGCATGAATACATGTATAAACGCACAGGACACGTATTTGCACTCTAGTGTCCGAGAAGTGGCTGCTGAGCCACAAAAAAGTCAAGCTGAAATCAAACGTTGTTTTTTTTTAAGGGCCACAATATTTTGCTTTTTTAAATTTTCTTCTTTTGCCCCCCCTCCCGAAACCTCAAAAACATCACAACAGTCTTCCGAAGACGGAGGAGCTGGCTCAGGGCAACTCACTAGTTTGAAGAGGACTTTTGAGAGGCAGGGAGCGTACTGACCCTGGCCACCTCTTTTTAATTCCATGGCTTTCAGAACTTTTAACCCAGGCTTAGAGAACACACAGGTCCATTCCTCCTTGTGACAATTTTGTGGACAAGGTTCCTGCTATGCTGGGTATTGACTCCACACTCATCAGTTAAGAGATGGAAACCATTCAGCTTCAGTAAAAAGACAGATGAACAGAGATGCAGGAAGACTTCCTGTCCATCTCAGGCACAGAAAGCCATCAGTCCTTTGACGCGAGCACTAAATATGACAATGTCTGCAAGCTCCTGAGGCAACAGACAAGAAACCTAATGGACCAGCCATGATCCCCTCTGACCGACTGCGCTCCTGGGGTCTTACCTCCGCTGTAGTCTGGCGGGCTGCAGCCGTCTGCTGGCGTCTACGCTGGAAGTAAGGACGATTGCGCTGGCGCTGGGGCTCGGGACGGATGCTGTCAGCTGGGGCTTGCGCTGCTTTGGTCTCCCCATCGCCTCCCTCCGTAGTGGGTTGCTGTGGTGGGCGGGGGCGGAAAGGTCTGGGCCAGCAAAACATCACAAGTTAGCCTCTCAGGGTATTTTAAAAATTATTTTTAATTTCATCTGGACAAGGGACCCTGCATTTCAAAAGACTGAAACCTGCTCAGATAGTGTTGCCTGTGTTCTCGGAGGGTGTTCCTCAGATTCACATCTGCGTCTAGCTATTTACCCAACCTGAATCCCTAATACAAGGCAACCTTATTCTAACAGTTGAAAACCTAGATAGCAAGCTCAAGGTGGACATCCTGGTGGCCTTCCAGATATTATAGGTCTGCAGCACTCATCAACTTTGCTCTCGGCTAGTGCCGCCAGGAGTTCCAGATGTTGGACTGGGATTTCCATCCAACAAAGGGTGTGGGTGGAAATTGCAGGCCAACATCTGGAAGATTCCCAACTTGCTCAGTCCTGGTCTATGCAATTGTTTGTCAGTAGCAGCTGCTCAAGTGTGTCTGGGACAGAGAGAGAGAGCAGGCTGGTCTACCGAAGGGCTGTCGGACTGAAGTATCTGCTCAATACTCATAGAAGTTAAGTTAAATAAATTTGTAAATTTTTAATTTTTTATTTTTCTGGCTTTTATCCCGCCCATCTAGATTCAATTAATCTACACTGGGCGGCTTACATTCCAAATATAAAGCAAACAATATCAGACAACATAGAGATAGGCAAATTCCAAGTTATAAGAAATAGGGAATTAAGAAATGGAATTTTGGGGAAGGCCTGCCTGAAAAACCAAGTCTTCAGCTTGTCCTTAAAAACTCCCAGCGAGGGTGCCAGGCGAATCTCAAAGTGCAAGATGTTCCAGAGGTGAGGAGCCACTGTTGAGAAGGCCTGGTTTCTAGCTTTCTCCTTCCGGGACTCCCTCGGGGCCAAGCCCCTCAGCCACCAATCCTGGCTAGATCGAGTGACACGGGTAGAGTTGGGTGGGAGCAGGTGGTCTGTCAGGTATCGAGGTCCTAAACCATTTAGGGCTTTATATGTAAGCATTAACACCTTGAAGTCAATGTGGAAATGAGTCGGGGAAATGTGGTGGTAGTTATAAAACCACAACTGTTTTTTAATAGGAAACAGCTAGAGCACAGTGTCTTTTAGAAAACAAATAATATGCTCGCTTCCATTCCTCCACTTGCGATATACTTCACAGAGAATCTACAGCTGTCCTACATTATATCAGGACAACCCTATCCAACACAGGAGTCGTGAAGGCAGAAAACTGCGATGTTTGGCCCCTTTATCCCATCAAACACTTTGCAGAAAAAGCGAGGAAAGTTCTCCTGCCTGCAAGTTGTGTAAACTCTAGTCAGAGACCGCATGCTCCCGCGTAGCCCAGCTCTCCCTGTTGTGACTGTGGGAAGCCAGCGCCCTGTTCCAAGGGAGCTGCGGCACCATTATCCTCCACAGGGCTGTCCGGTAGCAAAATCACGAGCAGCGTCCTGCCGCTTTACCTGCGGTATCTGGGACGGAAGCGAGGCGCTGGGGCCCTCTCCCCAGCCTGGATCTGCTGCTGGTCTCCCTCAGGCTGGGTGATCTCTTTGGCTTCTGCACTCTCGGTGCCCTACGGAAGGAAGACCGTGTTGCTCGAGAGCCTGAGGAAAGAGCCGCCACAGTGGCCCTTTGGCTCAAGCCAGAAGAACGGACCTCTGACGATGGAACGGATCCGTGACAAAGAGCGTAAGCGAACAACTCAAGAGGAGGCTGGAACCCGTGTCCCTTCTGGGCAGGACAGGCCCGTACAAACATTTCCACGCGGGTCATTCAAGGACAAACTCTAAAAAGATGATCTCGCCTTTTGAGTTCTAGGCCTTGGACATCAGCCTCAGAGACCTTACAGAGAGGAGGGGAAGGGAGACAAACTCCCCCGGGGTGTGTGAGATTACAGGCTGGGGGTCTGGCTTCTCCTAAGGTGACCCACCGATTCACACACCCCCAAAGGACTCACTTCCATGGGCTGCCCCTGCTGCTGAGCCCGAGGGCCCCGCACAAATCTCCGGCGGAAGAAGAACGGCGGGGGACGCCTCCTCCGAGGGCGTTGCTGCACCACATCATCGGCCCTCTCCCCCTCGCTGACCGTCTCGGTGACCCCATCTGTCCGGGCTGCGTCCTGCGGCTGTTGGCCCTGCCGGGGCCTGGGGATGAACCGGCGGAAACGGCGGCGGTTGGGGGCATAGCGGCTGCCTTTCACGGGGACGCCCCCCGGGCCGGTCACGTTGGCTGCTTCTGCGCCCTGTAAAAAAGATGATCGTTAGCAAGGTAGACTCCAACAGCGGTCCAGGACCACGGGATAGCATCTCCCACCTTCACCGAGTAAGGGCAGCTGGATCAATGGCCCTCCCTCTCCCCCAGGTACCTTCTCTCCTTCCACAACATCAAACTCCACTGTCTCCCCATCACCAACACTGCGCAGGAATTTACGGGGATTGTTTCTCTTTATTGCCGTCTAGGAAAGAGCAACGAGAAGACAAGACAGAATGAGCTCATCAGAAAGCATCTGAAGCTTGTCCTAATTCTCCTGGTCTGGCTTAGAGAGAACTCTGTGCAAGATAGCCGCCAAATCTCCTAGAGCCCTGCCTTTTGAATATTCTCTTGCTGCGTTTAGCAATTAAGAAGGGAAAGACAAAAGAAAACATTTTTCATGTAAACGCGATGATAACCGTCCTCTTAAGAGAGCTTCGGAGGGCTGTTCAGCAAATTCACGCGATGTAAGGCAATTAGAGGCGACCAGTCTTGATCGCTATCGGCTATGTTCATCATCAGAGATAAAGCATCTTTATATAATAGTTTCTGGGGAATTACTGGTGGGCTTCCTGGAGGCATCTTGACAACAATTATGAAGAACAGAAGGCTGGGCTGGGGTGGTCTTTGGTCTGGTCAGGTGGATGACATTCAAAAAGGGGTTTAGGCACAAGCCAGTGGATCCGCACGACAAGAAAGGCGATTCCAGCAAAACATAAGGGAGACCTTCCGCCTGTTAGAGGCAGCCAACCTTGGCAGGTGCTGGCCTCTCCTTCATCAAAGGCAGATAGATGCTCCTCCAGCAGGGATGCTTGAGCAGTAGATTCCTTTCAGTGGATCCTTTCCCTGATCACAGACACTCTTTTCAAAATGCTCAGTCCCATGACTGAGGGACCTGCCTGACCGCGTGTCTCTCCTATCAACTGGTACTGCGGCGTGTGTCTCCTCAAGCTAAATGGTTATGTGATTTAAGGAATCCTTAGCTATGAGAAGCAGCACACAAATGGACTAAGTAATGATGATGATGGCTCCCACTGTAACCAAAGGGATTATGATGTCTGCACTAGAGGGTGTTGCAACTGGTAAAGGATAGAAGGCCAGCATATTCTAGATTTGGGGCCTGCAGGAATTCCCACATGAAAACAACCACTGCTTGCCAATACCAGTTCACAACTACGAGAAGGACTGTGATGGGCCCACCCACCTGTCTAAAACAGGTCTTAAAACAGAAGGTGGCGAAAGAGAACTCTCTTGCAAGAAGCAGGCTTCTTACCTGGTGCACAAACACATCCTCCTTCGTGTCATTCCTGCGGAGAGGGGGGAAGACAAAAAGCTCAATGTAGTTCCAGATTAGGGGAGCGACCTGTCAAGCAGACTGCAAAAATTATAGCTAAAAGAACCACAGCTAAAATCGCAGGAGGGTAGGTTAGACAGGGAGGACGTTGCTGAATGTAAAAGACCTGTTTTTCCCCAGAATTTCCGTCCTGATCTTGTATAGCACAGCAGGCTGAGGGGACAGGCGTAACACATAAGGGGGATGGGCCCACCCCACCCTGTATTTTGACCACGTTTTGTGCTGGACGGCACAAAACCAGGCTGGCTTTGCCTAGTCCTGTAACACCCTAAATGGCCTGAGTGGAATTCCACGGTACCTTTTCAACCAAAACAGGCTTCTAGCTGCTCAGGGCTCTAAGACTGAGGAATGCGAGAGATACAGGCATGTTTTCCACAAGCTTAGAACTAGGATACCTATGGGGTGATCGGGCACCTGAGAGCAACAGCAGTTCCAGCTGTGCACTGTGGCAATCCAGACATGCTATTTATTTTAAAGATTATGAAAGACAAACCAGAGGAACTTTTTAATTTCCCAATCCGTGCTTTGTAGAAAAGAGGTGTCAGATCTCATATGAATTGACACTCCAGTGGTTCATGTCCTTCTCCACCACCCGTCTGAAAGTTATTAATAACTTCTTCCCCTGTCATCTTTTAGGAGAAATCCTTGCCACTAGCGAAAACAAGCGTTGACTTTCGGCTAGGGAAACAAACTCCTTTTGCGCACAGATCTCCTAAGCGGGCATGGTAAAACAAACACAGGGCATGGATAAGGAATCTCACGTCCTCAGCTGCCTTGCTGGGAGTGTCCCAGCCAGGCTTAGCCCGCTGTTTGCCTTGGCCATCTTAAGCAGCTCGCTCAGATTTCCAAAATCATAGGAATGGGGAAAAGATGGTGACAAATTTGTAGGCACGTGTCATCCGAGGCAAAACAAGACGTTTCGGAAAGGCCCCTCATTCATGCCGAGATGATGTTAACGTAAAGACTCAGACTTCAGCAGCTTAATTTATCACCAGACATTCAGAGAAGCTTGTTCAGGTTTGCTGAAGGCTTCCCACTGTTATCTTGGGCAGAGCCCAAATACTTTTTCTGCCAAAAAAAAAAACCTAAGAAAGCAAGGTGCTCAGCTGATCCGCTGCCAAGGTTTCCACATAATCTTTGCTCTTCTGACTCACTTGCATGTCTCTAAGAGGAAATGAGGCATTGAGAAGCAGATAGCATTAGTGGAGCAAAGCTGCACCTGAAGCTTACCTTAAGAGGAAGCGAATTTACCTCTGTCCATAACACAGGGTGTTAGCAAACTATACCCAACTCCCAAAACTGAGACCGAGGGAACTTAATCACTGGTCTAGAGTGGGCCCTTCGCACCTCTTGTTATCTCTGATCCTGCAC